AAGCCTGTCTTTCTAGATCCTTCTAGAAGCTTCTTAATGTAAACTTATCTATCTAGACGATGAGCGACTGCCATTATGTCCGTAATCAGCATCCGTAATCATCCACATGCATTCAGCGGTGTAATTTTCGTTCATTCAAATGTAGAAATCTCATGCCGACGTTGGTTGGGGTTCCGCTTCGAAGATCTACAAGCGCGCCAGTTAAAATAGCTTGAGCTTTACCAAGGAGAGATATTGTATCTCATAAGGGTTGGAGTTAATGATACCAAGCCCTGAAGAATTGATACCCGTCTTACGAGATGCATGACTAACAGCACATACGTACTGATTGTTAAAAGGAACGTTTTACGCTTTGGCATCCCGTGGAAATTCTGATTACTTCAGGAGGGTTGGGCAATTATATACGGCGGGTAGCTGCTGAAAATGCCGTAGCTCGCGGAAGCATTGACGAAGGATATAATGCACGTGCATCGAGCGGCTGTTAAAGGTTTGAAGCCTTTGTTGATTCCCTAAAGAATCAGGCCAATCCTTTTACCTTTTGTTGAAGATATCACCACGCCGTGACAAGAGACCTTCCAAGCGTGACGGTCCCAATACAAGGAGCTCATCGGGGAAAATACGTGATTCCTGAAACCAAATTCTTTTGTTAAACGATATGGGCCCTTGCCAAAAGAGTAGTGAGATGGATAAACATTTTACCGGACACAAACGATCTGGAGTCGATGGGATAGTATAAATTTCTGACTTGGCGTCAATGTTTTGTGTCAGGTGAAGTCACGATAAATGGCAACTTGTACAAGCTTATGATAAACTTACCACAGCCCCAGTTTTGGCCCAAACGCTGATCATAGGGTGTATGTGCCACGGAATAGCAACCGTCGTTGCTCTTTGTTTGGTACTCTTGACCAGAATATTTAGACAGCTCATGAGAGGCAGCTTTATCCGTCTTACCGCAGTGAGCGATTACAGTGGAATGCTTTGGGAGCTGTTGTTTATACTATTTAACGCACATACGACACCATTTTCTCTGATGAAGTAACTATACACATATTTATTGGTTCCTACTCGTGCAGAGCACGAGAAATTGGATGTGGGCTTTAACTTGCAAGCCCCACTCGAGAATATGAGCTTACACATTTCTTTGCCGAAATAGACCTATGTATGTTGTGCCGACTAGACCCTTTTCTGGGTTGCTTGGTTTCTTAGTTGCTTCTCTTAACGCATGGTCTGTGGGTAATTTCTGCAAAAGTTAAAGCTATTGTAAATTAGCTCGTGCCTCGTTTCTAACGAGACTGTCGAAAGAAGCTTGATTTGGCCCAGTCAACTTCTTGCGCAAGTTTAGCGTCGAAGCTTATCCTTATCATTC